TAGGGAAAGTAATTTCTGGAAAGTACCTAGCGATAGTGTATTTGAATTCCCAAAATTTTCATCTGATCCTTCTCTCCTGTTATATATAAAAGGAACTACTGAAGGTAAAGACAGGGCTTGATGTAACGGAGAGGATTTATATTTCCTCTGCTTTTAGAACATCATTTGAGAATGTAGACATTCTCACTTACTGCTCAGCATGTCAATATAAAGCCTTCTCTCTCCTTCACCTACTGAAGCAGCTAAGAAATATAAGACCATGGTGAAATACATTTTTGGCAGCATCTCTGCTCTCCCCACATGCTGACCAGCACTCATGAAACAGCTTGTTATTCCTGTGAGTGACTGGGGAAAATCAGGAAGGGAATTACAGTCTCAAATATAAGTTCACTGGTTTGTCTGCTGTCAGGAGAACAAAATGCAAATTGAGAAATTGTAATCTATAGCATTTTATAGGTAGAGATTATCTAATTAGGTCATGTTCTTCATAACTTCCTTTTAATTCTCTAACATTTTAAATACAACTTTTATGTACCCCTGATATATTAAACACTTAAAAAAAAAAAAAAGCTTTCTTTCACTGATATTCTTTTTCCTATATCTTTTTTTCTCTTGCTGAGGTTACATGACTTATAGATAAAGGAACCTGGGATTCTCAAAATCTGGGTGGCACGTGACAATTCTCTTAGTTTGCATTGCTGATGATTTCTCTATTTCTGCCTATATGGGAACATAATTAGCCTTAAAAGTAACTAATAAAAATTTGGGTACATGTATATGAAAATTCAGTACTTTATATGAAAATTTAATATTACAAACATATTGGGTCATTGAATCATAAAAAAGTAAGATTAGGCTAACTTTCTCTTTTTCATTCAAAATTACCTATAAAAACAAAGTATAAGGTATAAAATAAGCACCTTACCAAAATTAAGTTCAAAGATGGAAGGTTTTTGTCCCTCAGACTGATTGAAAATTTTTGAAGAGCATCATTTTGCCAAAATTTTTGTGCTAATATTGTAAAATTTTGTGAAGTGAAACAAAGGATTTTTTTTTTTCTTACGTAAGCCCCCAGCATCCCAAATCTCTGACACAAAAATATACAAACCCTAAACTTTTTAATGAGGAATTTAGAGGATTTGGTGGCTTGGTGTGGGGTTTTTTGTTTTGTTTTTTTTTCCTGGTTCACCTTCTGTAATTAATATTGGAGATTTTAAAGGCTGAAGCTGAATCATTGGGAGTTTTATCATCTTCCATATTTGAAAGTTTTGCAAAATGCACAAAAAAACCAGAAATAGCCAGCTACAACTTTGAAGGCCTTTTTGTTCAATGCTTACTCGAGCAGCATGGATTTTATTTTACTACTGTTTTAGTGAAGAATTATCACATTTTGATATCCCACAACATTTCAACAAGAAAATACCATCTAGGGAATATAATTTTTGTTAATCTTGAGAACAGAGTATCACAACTGAAGTTTCAAACTCCTCCACCTGAAAATCTGAGCATATGTCAGCATTTAGACAGAGACTATAGAAAGAAACTATGAATTGTAACAGATCTATCTTTTTCTCCCTACACATTTTGGTTACTGTATGGCACTAAAAATCCTAAAAATGCTTTATCCTTCAATATCTTTATCCAAGACTACAAAAGTGATTGCAAAAGAGTACGTTAGCTGTCACAACTGTTGTTGACTAACCTAGAAACAAAAGGTACAGATGAATAGCAAAAATTCTTCAAGGAAATTGGCAAAGTTATAAAGTCATGCACCTGCATCTCTGGGGTCTCTGTTCTGCATCCTATTCCATACATGAACTGCCTTACTAAAAGATCCCATTAAATAAGGATGTTAAGGGTTCAACTTCTCCAGCAGTGCAGTGGATTACTGACCTATTCAGGAACTTACTGTCCTTGTACCATAGCCAGGAGAAAAATATTACAAGGAGGTTACTAAACCAATAATGTTCAAATGGAAAAGGTTATACTTCCATTTCCTTTGGAACTTTCCCTTCCTTGTCACACAATCCTCCCTACAGCCTTTAGAAAAACTTGGGGTGGTGTTACAAGTTCATGGCCTTTCCCACCCCAGAAGACTTGAAAGAGGTTGCATTTGATTGGAAATCTTTATTTTGTTTCATTTGCTTGTGTAACACTTCTGCCCGTGACAAGCTATAATGACAAGTAGTTGGATTTTCAAATGGGACCAAAGAATTTAACTGTGCAAGTCCAATGACAATTTTTCATAGGAACTAAACACCTACATCATTTCAGCACTACAGGAACTTTCTCACATGTTTTATTATATCCAAAATATGATGGAAGACAGGAAAATCCAGGGAGTCCAGGGTAAAAAAATACACTACCCAGTAAATTACAGATGATTAGACTAAAATCCCTTTTATCTTTTTCAATCCCAATTTCCTAAACAAAATTTTTCATAGAACTAAAACAAGATAGCACATTCCATTTTAAAATTACAGTTTTCATGGGAATATTTTCAAGCATGGAATGCAGAATTTCTTGTTCCTTCATTACAGCAGCTGTCGATCATACTATGTCCTAGATCCACGTCTGTGCCATTTGCACTCCTCATAAACCTTGGTGATCTCTTCTTGTTTGGAAGTCAAAGGAAGTTCAGTGAAAGCTGCTGTCAATTAAGCCTTTTGTTCCAAAAGATACTGCTTGTACTTTATTGAAAAATTTTGACCAACAGATCATTCAGTCAAATGAATTCACCTGAAAGGGACTTATTTCACTGCTAGTATCTCAACAAGAGAACACTGCCAGCATTAATACTCAGGTGTTTTTCTCAGAAACTCAAGAGGGTAGAATTATTGCCATTAATATTGAAATCTTTAAACTTTTCAAAATTTAAAATATAAATAGAACAATATGTTCCATAACTTAAGACTGTATTTTTATTCAAATTAAACTTCTTTTTATAACTGTCATTCTTTTCTCTGTCATTTGACTCTCACAGTGCACGATGCAATTAAATCATAGAACTGACTCCAAATGCTCAACATACACAATTCGTTGAGAAGCAGATGAGAGAAGAGACATTCAACATCCAATGAGAATGGGAAAAGAGTGAGTCAGTATTAAAAAAAATAATAAATCAAATGTCAACACTCCTTTCTTTTAGTTAAAATTCTTGCAATCATGAACAATAAAATTCAGTTAATTCTCTACAGATGCCCATGTTTCACCTTACTTGTAGCCAAAAATTCCTTTGAGAATTTTTAGCAAGAAGAGAGAGATGTAATTCAGTGGAAAACAGTAGCCTAATTAAGAAAAAAGCAAGCAACAATCTGTTAATACATAGTTCTTTTAAGATACAGCTAATGCTGCATTTACTAAGTTATGAACTGCTACACATTTACAAGGGGAGAAAAATACATTATCACAGTTCTAACTTGGGTGGACAGCCTACAATTTTTGACCATGTTAGTATTAGCGAAAAAAGAAATTGAAAATGAAATGACATTTAGGGTCAAATGCAATAATTCAAGAGTAACTTTAGACCTTTCCCAGCAAACACTTAAGTGGGCAGAATTAATAACAACTTCAATTACCAGTTCTAGTGAAAGGCTGTCTCATATTTACTTTTCTCTATTCTCCGCAGAAAACCACATTTCACACAGTGACAGATGAAAATTAGCAAGTCCTTTTCCTTCTGAGAAAAGTTTCCTTTTGCTTGCAATATGTATTTCAATTGTATGTATGACAGTATATTTTTTTAGTCAAAGCTTTTGAAAAGACTACAGTGTCACAAAGAAATGCTTTCAAATGAAAAGCCAGTGGTTAACTAGCAAAATGCACTGAAGAACAACTGCATTTTAGAAGTCAGTCCTGCACTCAGTAGGGCAGGTTCTGAGGGAAGCGTAAATCCAAACAGCTCTTATCACAACGGTGCCACAACATTTTGCACAGGCTGAAAATCTCCTGCTGGTTTTGTCAAAGAATGCGTAGAATAGGTTCATATTTTTAATGTATCTTTAGTAAAGACTTAACTGCAGCAATCTTCCGAGCATCCTTGGAAACCTCCAAAGCAAATGTTGAGATATACAAAATAAAATACAAAGCAGTAGATGACAGGAAAAATAAGTGACCTTTGTATTCTTCTCCTCCCTTCCCATAACTCCCAAGTTATGCAGGTGTGATTCATGCACAGTAAGCCAAGAAAGTTCACATTTTTCAGTACTAGTAATGCTGGAAATCTGTAAAAATTCTTTTAATGGAAATATGTTTTAAGGTCATGAAAAATCTTCCAGAAATGTACTTACCTCTTCCAGAGCAAGGTAAATTAGAATTTCCTTGGCATTTCTTAGCACTTTCCTCAATTGACAATGGACAAGAACGTGGATGTTCACACTTCTTCCCAGTCCATCCTTCTTTACAGTCACACCTTCCACAATTACACTGTCCGTGACCTTTACAATGAATGCAATTAAAGGTTAGCCTCCATACCAAAGACAGGTATTAAAACCTCATGATTAGATGAGCTTTATCAAAGTTGTGGTTTCATTAAATAATCAGACTGGCAATAAAAATACAATGCATTCACTGTATCTACTTTTTTTTCTGAAAATAGCACTGATCTATCATTCCATTTGAGCCATATTTCCTTTGAATTTTTTTTCTTAAGGGATGATTTACAACTTGGCACACACTCCTCATGCAAAAGGGTGGAATAGAGGTTACAAATACACATTTCACCACTGTCTTGAAAAGTGGGGCCATCATAACGCAATATTTCATTTACCTTTATGTTACTCTTTTTCTACCACAGTTGCAGCATATTCTTTAAATAATATATCAATACCACCTTTTACCTACTTGCAATCAAGATGATCTGCTAGAGACAAGCAATGTCACACCAATTCCAAGTCTCAAACCAGTGCCTTCTACTAAATAGTGATGTGCAAATAATAAAATACTGGACATAATCAGTTCTTATTTTAATAGGGCAGTTGGATGTGGGTTTGGTATCTCGTTAGCTCACTTGACCCTTCCCGACCATGTCTGATCATAAATACAACTTTCATTCTGCAAGGTGAGGTGAGGAAAAGCAAGTGAACTTCATAAAAGCTTTTCTGGAAAGTTTCTTTTAAAAAATGTGACAGCCAAGAGGTTAGGAGTGAATCCCTCCTGAGAACTTAACCTGGAAAGCCATCCAAACAATCTGTTTCCTCTATAAGAATGCTAACATATCCAGACCAAGAAAATCCAAGCTAATTGCTCAGCTCCCTTCATCATGAACCTAATGGTCTTTGTATAAAGCAGTGGGATTCTGGCAACACCAAATGTTCCTTTCACTGGATGAGGAAAGCGTAAGCATCAGCAAAAACATTTCTTCCTACAAAATCAAATATTTATTACCATGAGCTCTCACAGCATGTTAGATCTTCTCTCACACTTTTCACATAGTCATCATTCACTGGACAGAGGACCCCAAAGCACTGGTCTGATGTCCACTTGTCTACCCAGGCTCTTCTTCAAAACCATAGCACCATGGATTTTATATCTCTATCTAAGTGTACTTGCATTTTAAGACTGGCTTATATTATATTTCTAAAACTTAGGCATTTATCAGTTCACAAGGAGAAAATGGGAGGAAGTAAGCATTTACAAGTTATCAGAGTAGTTCCCAGAATATGTCTTATTACTTTCACAAGAATAACTTTTTTTTACAGTAGTTATTTGTTCTCTTTGAACAGCATTAAAGGTTTCCTCTTGTTTAGAGGGTAGATTTAAATTAGATATTAGGAAGAAATTCTGTACTGTGAGGGTGGTGAGGCACTGGAACAGGTTGCCCAGAGAGGTTGTAGAGGCCCCATCCCTGGAAGTGTTCAAGGCCAGGTTGGATGGGGCTTTGGGCAACCTGGTCTAGTGGAGGGTGTCCCTGCCCATGGCAGTGGGGGCTGGGACTAGATGGGCTTTGAGGTCCCTTCCAACCCAAACCATTCTATGATTCTATGATTCTGTCCCTTGCTTTCAGGTGTGCCTGCGGACACGTTGTGAATTGGATATATGTTCCCTGATCCAGATAGATGCTTATGAGAGGATAATGTTCTTTAATATAATATTTTCTTTGCTAGAGCCACAGCAAAGGAGCTAATGAGATGTGTGAATGTAGGAATTTTCTTACGGAAGCCTTTTTTCTTTCTGTGCCAAGTCATGAAAGCTATTCTCTCTTTAAAGGAAGAGAATCACTTTAATGTTGAGAATACCTGTGAAAGAAAATCATTCAGTAACATACTGAACAGCACTTCAGATGTTAAAAGAAGGCATCCAGTTGCCAATATGAGGTACTGCAAATTAACAGTCACCCCAAGCCATATGAAACTTCTGGAGGGAGCTGCAGTTGTGTGATGTTAAATCCTCACAGCAGGGCTGTCAATTCCTGTCATTTGTAGTTTATGAAATAAACATAGAATTTCATTCAGATACAATAAAACTTTTTACATGTAAACACGATTTCCGATCATTTCAATCTGCTACTCAGGACAATGTGATTTTCTGTCTCTACCTGTTAGGTAGGCAGAACAAGACAGGAAAAGTTTTCTATCATCAGCTCTGTTTGATATAGGTTTTAAGAGAGCTGTATTATTTTCCCTCATCTGACTAATCCCACTTGAATTCATCCTAAATCAATTTAAAAATAACTGTGAGAAAAATGAGGATATTTTGCAGACACACCTAACCTGTGCACACTTTGTGCACTAAATAAATTTATTTCATATAAACAAATAAAAAAGCTGTCCAATTACAATTCTGCTAGTAATTCTTTGATTTAATTGCATATTCTGTCTGCTACAATAAACCAAAATTAATCCTTATACATCTTGTTTCTGAAACAGGACTGAATGGTGGGACTACAAGACATTGTTCACACTGCTTCACGTGAAAATGGAGAGTTTTGAACAACCTATTTGAGGTATGCATACTAGGATGGCCAGCTAAGGCTAAATTAGGCTTTTCTAAAACATAAGAATAAGAAGTAGTGGTAAAATTTTTGCTGATTAGATAGCAAAACTAAGCTATACTTCAACATGAGTTTTGTATCTCTCATAAGGTTTCCTCATTTACAGTTATGTCTGTGTAACAAAGAACGCTGTACCGGTCCTTAATGCAATCTCAAATGGCCGTATCTTCCCCCCAACTCCTTTGTAACTGTCCATAATTTCTTACAGCCATTACAACCCTGGGCAGCAGCAGCAATGGTGATAATGTCCAGGAGAGAGGGAGTTCAAGCCCTGTTTCAGTGATGCAGCATTAGCTGTAGATGCCACAGGGTTGCTTTAATCTAATTCGGTTTGAAACTCTTGTGTTCACCCTTAACTACAGAACGCATTTACCATGTTGTTGTGCAGCTTTGTATTCCGTAGCTGATGATGACATTCTGATCAGTCCCTGAGTGCTAAAAACATACTCAGCCACACAATAATACAATGAAAAATTGACAACATCCCAAAGTCAATCCTCCTGCTGCTTTCATGACTGCAGTTCTACATCCTTCCAGCTTATTAATTAAATAAACCTATGTAACATTTGTAGGAGGCTGCAACAGTAACAAACAAATGAATTCACTGAAGGATTTTAGAAATGCTGCTTTTTAATTTTTTTTGGTCATATTATTAGCTAGTGACTCATCAAGATTTAAAAAAACAACAGTTGAAAAACTGTTCACATCCGCAACAGGCAAAGAAGAGGCTAAGAATTTTATGTATCATGTTTGTTTCAGCCTTCTCTCCCTATTACAAACAACACCTATGATCTTTCTATGAGGGGTCTCTCATTCTAGTAATAGGAGGAGAATATACCACATCATTATTTTCCTTGATGTGACCGCATTCTTCCTATTATTAATTAGGCCAGACCAGATTTCTATAGGACGCATTAGAGCTGACAACCTGTAATCTGTCAAGTCTCTTCGAAACCACCCTCATTTGTTTTTGCAAAGTTCCTGTGTGTATCATCAGTTGCATGCTGTGTATTGATCAAAGTTCTTCTCTCCTGCCCAGTATTAGTATCTTTATCAATAACTATACAAAATTGTATGCAAGGTCTCACTCAGAATCTCAGCTTTTGTTAGCTGATACACAGAGCGTCAATTTGAATACTCTGCAAACCTTGGATGACTGGATGGATGTTAACTAATTTGAATATAATGCTTTGAAGTACAAGTAGAAGAAAAAAGGAAGGAGAAAGTGTCTAGGATGTACAGTCAGTAATGTGTAGCTGGACCACACATTCATATTTCCCAAACTTTCATGCTGTACTTGTTCTCAGGTCAACTGGTATTCCCAGGGTACTGTTTTTCATTAACTCATTAATTGACTTTTCCTCAAATTTCTTCCTGTCGCTTGTCCTCTCCCTGTTGTATAACATGAAATAACAAATAAAATTTGATCTAACAAATTTTCAAATTTAAATCTCCCCAAGGAAGGAGAGATATATACTTTTTTTTTTTTTAATTTTCAACCTTTCTCCAATTTATGTTAGGTTACACTGAAGACAAGAGTATTAGAAAGGAGATAGGCACCTAAAAGTATTTAATATTTACAGAATTTTGTTAAAAGGCATAGAAAAAAAGACATGTTTTAAGAAAGCTTTAGAACTGGAAACATTTTTTTATTTTTTTTACAGAATGATGTCTTTTAATTTAAAAAAGTCCACTCCCAAAAAAACCCAGCTAAACCTTGGTATATTTTAAGGTAGGAAAATGAGAATTGGAGCACTAAGGAAGAGCAAGATCAGACTAATTGGACGCTTTTGTTGTAAAACTACATGTAAGTTCCTTTTGTATATATTCTTTACCTGAACAGAAGTCATCAGAATATCTATCGTACACTTCTTTGCAGTTTCTTTCATCGCACTCACAAGTATCTCCATGAATATCTCCCCAGTCACCAGTTGGGTCTACATCATGGCATGTGCATTCTCCACATACGCATGTGCCTAGGAAAAAAAAAAAAAAAATAAAAGAGGCAGAGAAGGAAGATTAACTGAGCAATTTAGAGTAATAGTAGATTGATTACAGGAATTTACACTTGTGAATTTTCTGCTCTCACAGGAGTGCAGTTTCAAAGCTGCAAATGTTAATCATGAGTGTATGCTCATCTTCTATGATTTAAAACCTTATATGATTATTTAGTAGTAATGCTTTATACAAACAAGTTGGCTTCCTGTTCAAGTTTCTTTTTGCTGTTGAGCCTTGTTAGGAATCAACGGGAAAATGTAGTGCACCGAGCAGTTGTAAATCTTTGACATCAACAGTAATTTGCCCTGACACTAATGACAATAAAAATCAATGCTGTTTAAATGACTTGGGCTTGGGCACAGTGGATAATTAATGATTAATAAAGCATAAACATTTAAACTACAAGGGAATTCAAATTCTAATCCAACTGAAAATGTCTAGGAGGTCATTCTTTACCTAAGAAGATGCACATGAAAATGACAGTTTTCCACTTATCCCAAGTCAATATTCAGGGCCACACCCTGTTGTTTACAATAAGAAGGGAAATGTGAAATATGACAGAGACACTAACTAATTTGGCACAACCTTATGGGTATACAGAGGACACGCATCCGAATTACTCAGGAAAAGTCAGAGCAAAAAAAAAGACAATATTTCCTTATTCAGAAATCCAAATATGCTTCAGGGCCAGACATTCACTACTTTTTCTGAGATGCCAACAGGCACAAAGCAGCAGCCTAACCTTACAGATGCATGCGGTTCATTTCCTGGAGAGCAGCTTCACCTTCTGCTACTCCACCGAAGCCTTTGTCTTCTTATTCAGATTACTCTGAACAATATCATGCATTTGAGGACAACAGGACTAGGTGACTAAAGAGTACATATAGATATGGGCACTTTCTCTAAAAAGAGAAAGTCTACACAATCATGCACACATGACAGTTTTATCACACAGGAAGAGATGCTGCCCTGTTAAGTGCTAAAGCCACCAAGACAGCCCTCAAGAAATTTGCACCTGACTTTTGATACTTTTACAACTCAGTGACATTACTGAAGGAGAAGGAAAAAAACAAACAAACAAACAAAAAAAAAACCCCAACAACCAACCAAAAAAAAACCCCACACCCAGAAAATGAGGAAATGCCTCTGGAGAGTGATTAATCCTCCCAGAAACAACTTCAAAGTGAATTTGGATCAGCTGTCCTGGATATCAGAATGCAAAACACCATCTCACCAAAGTTTAACAAATCTAAAGGTTCACATCTGGTCTCAGCTGGTTGACTACACAGTTGGTGGAAAGATAGACAGTCTATCCATCTTAGCACTAAAGGAGGCTGGCACCATGGTTAGCCTCAATATGTAATTTTTAGAAGGCTCAGGTCTGACAAGATGAACTGCACCTATATCACAAGATGTATAAACACAGAAAATTGGGTAAATAGGACTAAAGAGAGAAGAAATACTGTGTTGGAAAGCAACTTTATGTAGTCAAAAGCCTACAAAATTTCTATGCAGACAAAATCACAAATACATCAAAGGCTAAAAATATAGAAGAATCCCACAAATGGCCTTTTGTATATGTGTTTGTAGCTATTCAGAGTATCAGCTATACTATGTATCCTCATTTCCCCAATTACAATGTAAATGTAAAGAAATACTTGCACATTAGAATTTCAAATTTGAACAAAACCAAATTGCTTTGGCAAGAAATTCTTTGACAAGAAATTACTTTTTCAGTGCAAACAAAGCATCTGATCTGAAGACACTTCGAAATTTATTTCCAGAATTACAGAAAATTTTTTACTGCTAAAGTCCCAAGACTAAATGAGCCTACATGATCTCTGTATTTGAGCCAGTCTTTCAATTTCCTCATAATTAAGAGAAGAGAGTTTTCTAAATGCTCTCAGGATAATTAGATGTTCACACTATATCAGGTTTTGTCAGTAGAGATGTTTTTAAGAGAGGTATCTATGTGACTTGTGCTTATGTCCTACTGTAATTATTCTGGACTATTGCCAAAAAAATAACACTTTGTTCAATGAAGTCAAACATAGTAGCTAGTGAAAAGCAAACTTATTTTGTGTTTTGTTGGTTTGGTTTTTTTTTTCCAAAATGGCGAAATTAGGCAGACATATAAGCTAAAATTCAAATTCTGGAACTTTGTGCAAATAAACCCCCATATCATTAGAAATCTTGTATGAAGTCTACCTTTCCAGCTCTGTATGCATTCCACAGCACTGTTACTGAACACCTCTTGGTTGTTTTTTCAGGATGCAGTGGAAACTAAAAGCTTTGTGGTTTCATTTTCCCTTGGTCGTCCTTGGTCGTTTTCAAGAGTGAATTGACATACAGTCCTGTTGGCCTTACAGCACCAATCCATTCAATGCCAAAAATCTGCTAATATTTTATTTTGCAAGATAGGACTGTCACCACAGCATGGGTACTAACAAATTATCCCGCTCAGTCTTATTACAAAAATGAAGGATGAGAACAACATGGGTCAGCTTAATCCAAAAAGGGCGTGAATTTGTGTAAGTTTATACCTAAACACAGGTATCTACCCACTCACTTGGCAACGTATATCCAGATTTGAAATAAGTGAGAACAAACTAGAAACTATCAGCAAACATAATCTATGTCCTACTGCAGAAATGCATATTGTAAAATACAAGCAAGCTATATAAATATGCGTAGAAGGAACGTGTGAATGACACACCTCTGTTGCTGCAGATTTTGCCATCTGGAGATGTGCATCGTTTCTTGATCTCCCAGGGGGTGATGTCACACTGGAATTCACATTTATCTCCATGCCAACCAGCCTCACAGTAACAGTTTCCACAGTAACACTTTCCGTGGCCTTAACCCAAAACAAATTTTATACAGTGAGAAAGACGCAAGTTTTTAAAAGGCATTAACAATTTAACTGTTTTGATCTTTTCTTTTAAAAACTTTTAGTTCTAGACTCAGAATAGAAACAATTTATAGACCGTATATGCCTACATACAATAACACAAAGGATATCTGAATTATACTTTTCCTCACATCTATTTTAGAACATATTTTCATTTAATAACTTATTAAATCTAATCAATAAACAGTAAGAAAATAATATCAATATTTTTATATTTGTAAGCTTAATTTTTGAAACTTTATAGGTAAATTTGGAAGATGGTAAATGTAATAGTTAAAAGTTAAGCACAGCTTTAAATGTTAAGATAGGACATGCTTGCCCACCGTACTTGGCATGTCTAAGAAAGCATTGTGTGTTCTTGACTCCTGAGATAGTTCCAGCAGAGGGACCTTGATTTACTACAAACTGTCTACATTATATATGATTTCCCTTCTTTCTTGTTAAGAAGATCTTTGAACATGGACATGGATAAACCAGTCCATGAAATATAAGAATTAGTAAAATGAACCCTTTAGCTGTTCATTTAATGAACCACACATCTCCCAAAAAGATAGCTGGGTCATCTGAGGCTTGATGAAACCAGCTTCTGAAAATTTTGATCCACTAAGGAACTTCTGCCATGTGCTTCAATGACACAAAGCCTTTAAATTCAGTAGCTGCAACTCGTAGGAATCTTAAAGCCATAAGTTAGTTCTTTACTAGAAGGAACCAGTGAGGATCTTGTCCTTTTTTTCCCTCTAGGTTTGTTAAGCTTAGTAGACCTGGTCATCTCTATCACAGTCTTGTCAACTTATATCCTTAACTATCAAGAGTGCAAATTTAGACCTGCGGAATGCATTTTTTTCCTGTTTTGACAATTATATATAACATTTTTATTATAACTGTTTGGCTACATGTCAGAAAATAACAGAAGATAAAAATACCATCTTACTTAGATAACAAAACCACAAAGTCTAAAATAATGCTTATTAACAAAAGATTGATCTTGAACAGTGGACAAGAAATAAAGGGAAAAATGGTGAAGGAGTAAATTAATTTTATCTACTGGCAAATTTTGCAGATTAAAACATCACTACATTCTTCACTCACACTTGTATACTCCTCAAATAAATATGAATTAAATGATACCATTTGCCACTACCTCTTGCTCTTGACTGGAGACAAAATCACTCCATTAGAGCAAAAAAAGCATTAGATAAAAAAGATCAAGATCAGAATTTAATTTGCTAGAAACTGTGATACTCTATTAAAAATAAGCTGCAACTTGATTCCAAAGTTTATGTAACCTTGAATAGTTATACAGTCAACTGACTGATCAAAATCCAACTGAGACTAGAAAAGCTTGATACATCTTTGTAACTGTACCCTACCTAAGAATTGATTTGCTTAAAAAATGTAGTTCCCTTGAGCAAAGGTTAAAATGCATGTTATCCATATCTCAGCATGGCATCATATGCTTTCCCAGGATAAAATCCCAGCTCACAGCTGCAGGCTTTAAAAACATGTCTGTAAATAGAAGCTTTTGTTTTTTCATTAGTTTGATCCTCCTGAGTTGTATTTCTTTGAAGACAATTAAAATCTTCCAGACCTGTCTATACCTTCAAGGGCAATAAAGGGTAGGGAGCAGCCAAGTGGGTGCTACACGAGCTGTGAAAGTGCAACGGGCACTGATTAGGTTCACCCTGTCTGTGGGGGGTATCTGGGCGCCATTGCTAGCTAAACAGAACTGAGCTGGAATGCCGTTTCTTTATTACTTTATAAATGAACTTAAATGATTCCTGTGGTGGAAATCCTGTGGAAGGAAAGATGGCATAGAGGGTATTAAAGGAGACATTGGGATGGGAGAGAGAAGCAATAACCAGGTAGGCATGTGAGGTCTGCTTTTTCTGTGATGAACTTATGTACCTTTGAACTTCAGTTCATGTGCTGCCCATTTTTTTGCATAAGGCCTGGTTCAACATGTGGCGATGTACTGTAGAGGTTTCTTAGAAAGCAAAGCAAAATCTAACACTCATAACCTACGTGCAAAAACTTTTCAGTTTACAACAGCCTAACCAAGTCAAGCACACCATTAGTTTATACCTTATATTTACTTTAGAAGGCTCCAAACCTTACATAGGGTATAAGGGCTTTTATACAGACCTTAGAGACATGAATGTACCAACTTTTTTTTTTTTTGTCCTTTTGTATAGGCATACTTTGATTTCTGCATACACATAAAATTAGTTTTTTGCAGAGATGCATCTGGTCTGTTTTGGAATATGGCACCATTGGATGAAACAAGGGGAAATAAAAGCTAAGAAAAACCTAACAATATAAACCAGCAGCATCAC